TATTAATAAAAGCGCGTATGTGTTTACTTGTATTAACACGGTTAAAATGCAACTAAATGAAAAAAAAAAAGTGCACCGGCATAAAAGCCCCAAAATGGTTAAAAATGTAACGTCGTCGCACAGAATGTGTTGTGTTATGTGTATGCGTGTATATATATGTGTGTGTGTGTGTGTGTGAATGAAAGAATGAATGAATGAGCTACAGTCGTATATAAAACAGCAGACAAGTGAAGGAGAGTAAGTTATTTGCTCTCATTTTCCGAAAGAAACAAAACAAATAAGAAAATTAAATTCGATCGGGACCGAATCTTTTATACCCATCATCACGTATACCCCAAACAAACGCAAAAGAGATAAAAGAACAAAATTCTCATGCTCTACAATATGGAGTGGGCGCAGTTGATTTCTTCTATTTTCAAAATAAAAGTTTTCGGCATATGGCCCTTGTAGGCGTGCCCTTTGAAGAGCGTAGGTCAAGGTTCCAAATTCCATTTGCAAATTTTTAGTTGATATCTTCACTTTGGCTAACGGGGGAATGACAGGCAGGTGGACAGACGAAGAGGCGGACATGTTTAGGTGCATTCAAGGTTTGAAACTTGCCAAGAATTTGGTTTTTACAGCTTGTTTCTGCATCTTATAAAGGTATTTAAGAAAAATATTACATTTTCATACACTATAAAATTGAGTAGGCGCGGTCAATTTTTCCGTTTTTAGTGCATAAATACTACAGTATCGTCCATAGTATATGCGTCGAAATTTTTGTACATTTATCTGCAAAAAAACGATTTTTGATTTCCTTTGAGAAACAGAGATATTCTCAGTTTACATAGAACTGTCGACATGTCATTCGACGGATTTGCCCCATTTTCAATATAGAACTGCGTGCAAGAAGTTCCACGATTTCTGGAAAATTTGAAGTCGATAGCTTCATTTTTGCAGCCAGAAGAGTGTTTACAACAGACATTACATAGACGGATAGACGATCAGTCTGACGGACGGATATGCTTGGATCGATTTAGAATTTGATGCCGATCAAGAATGTATGATATGTAATCACTCTGTGTGGTCTTTGATGTTTCCTCAATGAATATACCCCTCATCCTTCGGTGATGGGTATAAAAAAGAGTATATTAAGAAAAGCAAAAAAAAAAACTGAACACCATCAGGAAACGGGAAAAAAACATAATAACCAATTGATAAGCAAACGGAGAAGAAGAAGAAGGCAACCGTTTTCATTAAAATAATATTTAACTCGCTTTCGACAAGATTAAGGATTTCGAGCACTCTGACAACTTCCACAGTAAAGAGAAAGACTAAAGCGAAAGACACGTGCACGAAGAAAAGTTGTGCGATTTGATTTAAAACATATATATATAAACTAAAGAAACGAACTAACTGGGAATAAAATTCTTTTCCTTCTATCCGATCGGGATCAATGTCTTATCGACGGTATAGTTTGTACCATAACTAATAGAATTAGTAAATTTTTTATACTATTGTATTATTACATTGGCAATCCGTTTCGCGATCTGAAAGGTCTCACTTCAGAAGTACATGCTTTATGGGATTAGAGCGGATATATCTATTTATTACCTGAAAAGACAAACATCCATCCTTCGGTAGCGATCGTGAATCGATCAGAAATAATCTTCATTAACGATATATTTAAGCGATGTACTTTGTGGTTAATTATATAAGATCCATGAGTCGGATAGCTGCTCTAACCTATGTTAAATATGATAACAAGATCTAAATTTTAGATTAGTGGTTTCGACGCTCTTGGAAAATAGATATAGATATTTGCAATATAGAGAGTTTTCAGTGATTTTAAACTTACGTTGTATGTACAATCCAATCAAGGATATGTACGCACTGATAGTTGGCTATCACTTTCTTTGTTCTTTTAACCCGCGACAAATTCTTAAGATAAACGGATAGGAGAGAGACAGATATACGTAGACTAGACAAAGACAAAAGACAGCGAGCCCGGAAGAGGGTCAATGCCGGAGAGAAAACGAGAGAGAAGTAGAGAATAAACAATCGGTGAATACACGATGGCGTTTGTATTCAAGGGTTCAGCCTTTTAGCCAATTTCTCAGTACTCATACACTTTGTGGAACTGATCATTTAAGTGTGCTCTCTTATGTTGTGCATACATGCAAAGGTAGTAAATATATGCGCGCACTTATGTATGCACCGCCATATGTGGGAAAATGCAACCATGTGTTAAGAATTTTCAAAATTCACAACGTATTCTCAAGATCTTAAACGCTCAAGGCTAAGATAGCGATTAGTTGATATCAAAATGCGCAAATACACAATTTTAAAATTGCAAATATCGAATGGACTAAAAAAAAGAAACCATTTTGGGAAGAGCTTATTATGAGTACATTTTCCATTGAAAGTTGTAAGCTTTTGGCTATGTTTTGGAAATTCTAGAATGCAGTTGAATCCAGGTCAAAAATTGAAATCGACTGGTCGACGCAAGTATTTTTCATCACCTATGGAAGGGGAAGACAAAAGCTCACCATCAACGATTGTCATTAAAACCGAAAAGTGGCGAAAACTGGAGGGAACGCACTGGCAAAACTTAACCTAAAAGAGATATATATGCATATATACATAAGCCTAAAGAAAGGATTGCACTTTCGGTAAAAGAAAAAAGAAGCAATTCGCATATCATTAGAGTAACAACATAATAAAGACGGAATCCACATGAAGAGTGTTGCCATATAAGAGAAAAAGTTCTGTCATTCAATGCCCTGGTCTTCACTCAACTCAGTAAATCCTCTGTTGTTGATTTGCTAACCCGCAGAAGAACAAGAAGAAGAATTCAATTCCATACCGATTTAACGACTCCATGTGAGTGTAGTGGCTTTCCCCAAAACATTATCGATCTGAGAGTTGGCCGCAAATATTGATATTTTATTATTTTCGCATATTTTTATTGAGAAACGTGCTATCCGCTATTTACCCAAATTTCTTTATACTCTTTTTACTCCAGCTATTTACAGATATTAGAAAATTACTCCAAACAATCGTCCGGAGGCTGTGGGTGGGCTAATTTCGCCGCTAAGTTTGTTCTTCTGATTCCTATTAAAGATCATTTCAGAGTTTTTATATTGTCCAATTGGCATAAGATTTCAACTACATGCAAGACCAATCCTCCTCGATGGATCTCAGCTTTACGATGATGACACGATGATGATCAGAAAGAAGCGGGAAAGAAAAGAGAAATTTGAAATGGCCACAGCCTCGGATAAGTACGCCCGATAAGTAAATATTATGACTTTTTCGATCGAGCATTCCCTATAGGTCGGTCATACGCCGAGTATGCCACTATAATAATCGTGTTTCTTAACTACTTCGAGAAACTACTACCAAGAAAAAAGCGGAAAGAAATATAAAGATGATTAGTGAAAATATTAAAAAATTAAAATAAAAAATTCTAATAAAAAAAATATTTGAGAATAATTTCGCAAATAAATTTAAATTACAAGTGTATAGAATTCCAGGCATGCAGAGCTATATGAAAATTCTATGCAACTATGACTAGCAAACAGCACCTTGACGCTCGCCTTTTAGACGTTGATATGGCAGAATTAAGAAAACAGACGGCCCAAGATAAACGCGGCCTTATCATTTAGTCAAACTGTAATCTAAACAAATGTACCGCTTTAATAATAAACTACTCTCTTTTTTTGGGGGGGCTTCAGGTATAAAAATGTTGAAGTTTAATTGAAATTCCAACAAATTAATTTTTCACACAGCTGACCTTTTTATGAACGCTTCATAAAAATGCAAATAAAAAAAAACATCCATCAAAACCGCAGTACGCTTCTAACCATCGTAAGAGTAATGAAAAACATATAATAAAACCTTTTCAAAAATAATAATGACGACGGCGACGACTGCGACGACGATCACTAAAAACCAGTTTCCGCTCGCATACATAAACACGCTTACAGATAATCATACATTATATTATAAGATCTGACGCTTTGTTTTCAGTTTTCAGTTTTAGCTGAGCTTACACTACACAAGAATTTTGAGTTTCTGTGAGTTCGGCAACAGCATAGATACCAATGCACATAATGGGTTGACTCATAAAAAAAACGCAAGAGGATGGATTTGAGGTAAGTAAGCACTCGGATTGACTGACAATTGTGGTTATGTTGTTGTCATAAAATGTTTCTTTTTTTTTTCTCCCCTTTATTACTAATATTTCTTTTCTGGGCACATTCCAAAGCCATGACACTGTGACGCATGCGTACCGGAAAGAGGACAAAAAGAAAAACGTTAAATTATGTTGAAAGAAAAACTACAAAAGAGCACAAACAAGATCTTTTCCAACTCAACTATGTGCACAATTTGTTGATACAAAACAAGTTTCGCTGTGACAGAAGAAGAAGAAGAAGAGTGGTGACGCTAAAGAAACCAGAAGATGGATGAAATTGGCAAAAACAATATAAAACACTCCCTCAAACCTACATATATATATATGTATATATATAAATATTTACATATACATATACGAGTGGGAGTTATAGTGACCTCAGAATGGATAAACATCAGAAACGATTCTTAAGTAATTGATAGCATTTCAACATAGCGTCCATTTTACAGAGTCCATGTAATTGGTAAAATATCAAATGATTGTGCAATTAGTTAATGTTAAATTTGTCAACATTAAACCTGTTAGTATTGAAATTAAAATTTTTCACAAATTTTATTACATATTTTTTTTATTTTTTTTGGCGCAGTATGTTTAAATGCTTGTACGCTCAATTGATTAATATTCACAAAAAGTATGAGGTATAAAATTATTCACAGAAGAAAAGAAAAAGTTTTTAATGCGTTTAAATTAAAATTCAAAAGATACGACTATGTAACCACCCACTAAACCATTACCAAAAAGAAAATGAATAAATATTTAAATAATATATATATATATATATATATATATATATATATATATATAAAAAGTAATATTTTCTTACTGTCTCATGGAGCCCCAACGACGATTAGCTAAACTATCGGGATTGCTGTAAGAAAGAAGAAGAATCGAGAGTTTTTTTGTTTTTAATCCATAACTCTTCTTTTTCTTTTTAAAGAGATCATTTCTTAAAATATTTGCAAGCATAATAATACGTACCATATTAAAAACTACACTCTTCAGACAAACGAAACGAAAGAGAAGGCTTGTTCGAACCAAAATCTATTCTCTCTGGCTTTTTTCATCTTTTTAACTTATATGCATATACATATACCAACTTAAAGACAAAAAACGGAAAATTGTGAGGAGAGAAAGAGAGAGAAAGAGTGAGAGAGTGAAACTATATCTGTCTTAAGCTAAAGTTTTTACCTTCTACTTATTTCGATTCTATTTTAATATCCTCCCCTCCTAGAAATTATATTAAATTTATCTTATATTCATAAGGCATCGGTAGCAGAATTGATTTGATCTCTTGAAAGGCCTCTGCTTGGCTAATCGTGGATTGAGCAATTATTGACCCAATAAGGAATACATTGAAAATATGGTACATGAAAGTACATTCCGTACAATTTGTAGGCTATCGATCAATACAAAATTGACATAAGCGATTTTAGTCTTTGAAATTGCCACAGCTATAAAAGTTGGAAGAGGAGTCGAAAATTGTATCCAAGAGCTTTTATAAAAACAAATAATCAAAAATATTTTATTTGTCTTAAAATTAATCTTGAGAAACTAGCACAAGTTCTGCTGATTACTTACTCACTTACTACTGAGCCTATTGGTTAACGATTTTAGTAAATATTCGAGTCAAATTTTAAGCCGAAGCCTGCTATCTAGGACGTTAATTATAGATTTTAGAGGAAGATGGAATGACACGGAAATTAATGCTATTCAAGCACTTAATGAAATATCCGCAAAGGATTGATTTGGGCAAAGATCGATCTACTTTGACGTTCCTTCATTGCGCTTGTCGCATATTTACACTAATTAACTTTGAATTGCTTGCAGCAAATCGCAATTCTGCGACTCTTGCAAGAACTAGCATATATTAACAAGATGACCCACTTTTACGGTATATCTAAGAGATAATTGCTAAAGTCTCTTCAATTAATCCCTAATTTGTTGAAATTAAGAGCGTAAGAGCGATAAGAGTAAATGTAACAATTAAAAAAGGAAAAGGTTAAAAAAACAGACGCCAAACGTAGCGACATGAACTCTATTGTACAAAAAGTAAAGTAAGTGAGCATGAATTAGCCAACAGCTTAGTCAGTTCGGTCAGATTACTTTTTGCTTAAAATGTTCGCAATTAAGATAAAACGCATAACTAAATAAAGTTATATGCGACTTGATCGAAACCGTTATATTCACAAAACACAAGTCACTCTTTAAATGGCGGAGTAGAATTATCTGATCCTAAATATGATCTTTTAATTTGGAATGAGTTGCCCAAGACTTACAAACTTCTTAAAGTACGTACAGATATATACATATATATATGTATACATAGGAGAGGAAAGTAAATCGACCTGGAGTCCCATAAATAGAAAAAGGTTATACTCTACCTCTGCTCTCTCTCTCTCTCTCTCTCTCTCTTCTGCTTAATTATAGGATGCGTTGCAAATGCATTGACAATGTTATTGTAACCTCTCGACGATAACTATGAAAGCTAAAACCGGTTTTGAAGCGTGCAAACGAAAATATTGACGTATGTTTTCATGTAAGTGCACGTAACATTAGAAAAACAGCTTCATTAGGAAATGATTAAATGAACGCCTAATGCATTACTAGCAGCAAAGATTACAAAGGGGAAAACCGGTAATAAAGCAAATAAAAATTTTTTCAAATGTTTGAAAAAAAGCAGGAAAAAACGCTTCAACGCAAATCAACACAATTTGTGAAGGAGTACTCTAAAGATAACTTACCTATTTGGTGTACGGCGCAGACTCATGCGCGCCCAATTATCTCGCGGCAAAATATTTAAATCATCATCTCTGCAAATAGTAAATAATCGGATCATATTAATAAATAGCTAATTTAAAGGCAGCAGACACGAATATTGAACACTTACTGCTGTTGTGGCGTTGAGGAGTGACCACTATGAGGTTTTAATTCTAATTGGACGCCTGAACCGTTCAAATTAATTTTGCGTTCATTGTTCGAGCCATCATGCAATTGGCCGCCATGGTTCAAGTGTATGCTGCCCAATTCATTTTCACCATAACCTTCAAATGATTCGCCATCCGATAGCGAGGAGCATTGCGATTTGGCCGGATCTACATACGATATTTTGACTGATGAATTAAGACATTTTAGTTAAGCTTGCGTTAAGCTTGCTTACCTGTACTCGATGGTGGGCTTGATGATGTAGGACTGCTACTTCCGTCGCTTACATTCGTGGCATAGAGGAAATTTGGATTGGCATTGTTGGGTTTTTTGGAGGTGGGCATAGGCGCCATTATTGATAAATGCTGCTCAGAATTTAAAGGGTAGTTTAATTGCTCGTATATACGATACAAGAAATAGCTGAAATAAAACAGAAATTTTAAAGGGGAAAAATTATTAACCATAATGAATGAAACATAAGTTCAGCTACAGAGCCAGCGCGATCGAACAGACCGACAGAGCAGAGTGATTTCAAATCAATTGAAAATATACGAAAAAAGAAAATTGCGGCACTCATACGCACGCCTACAGCGTAAAGTACCTCCATTAATACAAAAAATACGAAAGAGTTGCCATATTTAACAAAAAAAAAGTAGAAAAATTTGTTTCTTGCTGAACAGCCCAAACTAGCAGGGACCTGCCTTTTATCGGTTGTATGGACGTTTGATGACCCCAACTTTTGCAAATATATATAATTAGTCAGATGCAAACAGTTACATGGAGACAGTGGAACTTGTAATAAAATAGCCATCGTCTCAAATTGAGTCTTGAAACTCTATTCAAGAAAATGTCAATGAAAACAAAAAAAAAAATAAATAAATATATATATATATATATGAAGAACGCGACCGTGCTGCCTGCCTTTGAAATCATCTAATTGTAATGGTTTTTCCAGCTGTTACAGATATTCGCACTTCCAAATGGGACGTAGACAAACGCTACATCTTCTTTCTCTCGTCCCCTGTCCATAAATTCTCCTGATCACAATGATACTCACATGTTTCGTGGGCATGGCACAGCGATTTGCAAAAATCGCTAAACAATAGTGTCACGCCAAACTAACTCGGTGTAAAAACTTTTCATATAATCGTTTCGAGTTGTCCTAATTCTTAATAGAGTCAATGGTATATACGAACCGTAACATACGCGTACCTTTGACAAAACATCTCCGTTGAGAAACTTATCCGATATAACTAATATGGCACGAGTGGGAAAAGAAAATAACGAAGAAATCGAGACCTAATCTGTTATTCGCACTGATCAACTGCTAACGATCTATATTTTTACGCTTTATACACATTGAACGAACTTTATACAGTCCCTGGAATAGGCAAAAAATAAATACAACGACGCCTTATTCTAGAGATTATATCGGAGAATTCGATGACGATTCTTTCCTTCCTAACGGTCCTTTACGAACAACCTCAATTTTCTCAAGTTTCTCTAAGAAGAAGAGTTTTGAGACGAACAAACTGCAGGAGTTCTGTGTAAACGTGAAGAAAAGGTTAAACGCTCCCTCTTGCTTTCATGTTCCAAAAATTTCAATCAAAATGTAATTTCAATCCATAGTTTTACAACGCGATCATTGAATTGTTAAATTTCTTCAAATAAATAAATATTTACGCTTTCTACATTTTTACCGCCAGTACACACTATTTCTACACTCTATGACGTATACATATTTTGTTTATAATAAGAGTTTTATTTCATCTTTATAAGTTTCTTATAATTAAGCCATAATTAAAATAAAAAAATATATGATGAACGTATCATAGACTGACAATTATTAATGGTTTCATAATTTGAACAACATAGAGGACTTTGTACGCTTACGACCGAGTTTTGGTCCATTATGTTTTAAAGCTAATGCAATAAAAGTATCGCACCATTACCACGTTACGTTGTGCAGCGTAATAGCAATATAATAAGCAGGTATTAAGCAGGCAGAAATCAACTGAAAACTGAAAGCGGTTGGCACGAGATGCGCGTCAGATAATTGAAGACTCAGTTAATTTGTTAATTTTCTTTCTTGCTCTAGTAGAGACTAAAAGTTGAAATTGAGAGGTGAATTCACAAATCGAACTACTTGCTGGGAAAATAAACAGGATATGGATATAGGCATGGAGAGAGAGAAAGAGAGAGAGAGAGAATTGCGTCTACAATTTCTCTTAAAGTATTATTTTAGGTAAGGATAAGCAACCCATAGGTGTGTGCATGCTCCTTAGCCTAGAAATACACCGATTGTGACATAAGCATAAATTTATGCACCGTTCAAGTGCTGGGACTAAGTAATAAAAAACTTTTGTCTTATCGAACTTTTGTCAATCGAACTTTACTCATCAGCTCTTTCTTGCTTTCGTCGAGGACGAATTGCCTTAAAAATTTTCAAGCCGATGTTGAGTTTGAACGCAGTCTGTTAAGTCTGTCACAGAACCCTGATTGATTAGTGTCCCCAAGTGCACTGTAACTTATAAATAAATGATCGAATGTCTTATTGGATAAGCCAGGGGAAGAGAAGAGAAAATAACCGCACGATGGTCTCCGAAGCTGCTACTACCATCACTTGGCCATTTCGAGTCCATGTGGATATATTTTCAAATGCATAGAGCGAAAAGAAAAGCCTCTTCCGCAGGCGAAATTTTCGTCGAAACATTTTAGCAGAGATTGATAGATTCCGTTGTAATTAACCGATTGTGTGAACTGCAATCCAAATTTCCTGATTAATTAACAGCATTGCAAAAAAAAAAAAAAAAAAAAAATGAAATTACCGGCTCAAACTTACAGTTACAAGCAGCAAAAATAACATAAATAAAATTTATAATCAAGTTGTGCAATTTTTAGGTGATTTAATTAACATTTTTATCTTAACATCAAAATGCATCTGAAACGTGAGATTCTTTCAAACATAAATGCATGTCTTCTTCAGCCAAAGTCGGCGGTATATTAGATTTGTCAAACGGTTACGTATCATGCATATGCACTTCGTCAGTCCCATCCATTTGCATTTTTATTTAGAATAAGACACCTTTGAGGACATATAAAGGTGAAGACTTATCAAGCGACGCTTTCGGTGCGGCTGTAACACTTCTTTCAAAATCAAACGCAAAATGAACGCATTTTCTTTCTTCTTAGTTTCCTTCTTCTTTCAACCATGTATTTAGAAATACATCGAAATTAACAAAAACAAAGTGAGCCAAGAAATTACATTGCCTTTGAATCGAACGGTCAACCCAGCCCTCCCCCGCTCACGATCGCCTTACTATACTATATACGCCGCAAATCCATTTATATTTGAAAATGACATTTTGAACGGGTCGTGCGGCCAACGAAGATTTTTCATTCGTTGCACCTACCTTTAATGCCTGCTCCTCACTCTCCAAATTTATAGGTGTGGACTTATTGCGAACATCATGTCAAAGGATTTGTAGCAAACTTTAGATGTAGGGTTTAGGTTAGGCCTTGGCATTTTCACTCTTGCGGGCAAGGTGTGCGCAAACTTTAAAAATTTCAGCGACAAGAGAAGCCCCGCGAACGGGGAGATATAATTAAATCGTTGCCAAATCTAAAGCTTAGCTTAACAAGAATTGTCTTTAATGCGTATTTTTCGATGTTACAAACGAAATGACTAAATTTGTATATCTTCTTCTTATTATCATATATGAATGAATTATTTGTTTGTTATATATTAACATCGAAGTTTGTCATAACAGTTGATGTATCTTTTTTCTGCATCTTAAAGTTTGCTTATCGATCCTCATCAACATAGTGTTGTTCGGAATTGTTACCACATTAAGTTTTGCTTTAATTTAAGTTGCGAATGCAGTCATTAAAATATGGTGTGAGAGTCTGTTGATGTTGATGACTGTCATGTTACGGTTTTTCCTTTTCTTTTTTTTTTTGTCTTTTCTCTGTTTTTTTTTTTTTTTTTTTTTTTTGTTCGGTTCGTTTCAGCTAAAGCCGTTAATTACATTAAAGCATGTTCACGGATTTTTTTTTAAACTCATTGTCTTGAGCGTTTCTTGCGCATATGATTTATTTTGCTTAGCGAAGAAAAAATTCATAAATGAAATGATTTTAAAAATTGCCAGCGAATGGAAAACTGAACGTGAAATAAACGCTGAATCGATTAAAAAAAAGAAAACAATTGCGTTCGACTTGGAACTGCTTGGAAATGCTTTGAGTTCCAACACTTTATTTGTGTGTTTTGTAGTTTTCTTCAAAACAGGAATGAATTATTAAAATGGCGTGGACACGACTGGCACGACTAAAGCGATTCCGCTGCTCATAATCATAAATCCATAATATATCTGCTTCATGCTTGATCACTTGACGATATCTTCGAAGATCTACGAGAAACTGACAACAACTAATCCTGCGGGAATTATGATAAAGTAATAAAAACAATAAATTTTTCCATGCGTTTCTCTCCACCTCCAGTCAAAGCTTTGTGCACGTATCGCGATAAATGAATGAAGCGATTGATGAAATCGCTTTTTTGCTTTCAATCACAAATTGCAGCAACAAAACGAAATTAATTAACACATGCTCATGTCAGATTTGATCAATTTCACCCGAATTTCCTGACACTGAGAATCCCATGAGAATCAAAAAACTAATCCTATATATGTCGGAAAAAAAGTATGATAACAACTTGTTGACAAAATTGATGGGCGTACTTTGTTTTTGCGTAGTCGTCGTTGACTCATGCCATTAAATCTATTTTAAATAATCAATGCGTTGAGAAGAAAGAGTCGTCAGAAAAACTTTTAAGAACAAATAACGCAGAGAAATGATTCTTCATACGAACATTTCACGACGAGCATGTCCAAAGCAATATAGAATTAGAAGCTTTAATTGGAAGCGTCTACTCAAGTGACCACTAATTTTTGTTGATAAAGTCGTCATGTGCATGACAGAATTCTCTTTTGCTTTCTTTTCTTAGCTTCGACCTTCTCAATGCAAGACTGCAAAGCGAGAAGAGATCGTATAAGCGGTGAAAATCTATTTTTCTAATCAACGCACATTCTAAAATACACAGAGCTACTCCAAGATAACCCGACTATAATGTCATCATCTGTTGACAGCTGCCTGAGCTTCAAAGCTACCACTTTTTGGGTATGACTTCTGGGTCGGCATAACGTGTTTCTTTCATTGCCAAAAGCATTTCGCGACTGTGTAGAAATCAGAGACTGCTAAATCAGGCAGATGAAGCGAATTATTGGTGATTAAAAGGCGACTTTTCGTTAAAAAAAAAACGCTTAAAAATCTGACTTTTGCGCATAGCAAGGTTTAGAAAGTCTTTCTTTGGACTAAATTTTCAATCAATATGTTAGTATTTGATGCTGTGCAGACTTTTAATTCAATTCCCAGCAATTTTACTGAAGATATTGTTGGTTGGTTGGTCTTTGATCACAGAAGTGGTATGCTACATACAAGCGTATAACAAGACTCTGTTGTTTCTCTTTTTTCACTTTCTGTTATCCATTAATGACTTTCTGCGCGCAATGTGAAAGCTTATTTACGAATTTTCACATAAAACCACCACCAGTCTCAACAAGAAAGTACGAAACATCGACCTGCAAAGTAAGCATCGCGTGGTGAATGATACGCTTGACCGCGATCTCTCAAATCTATCTGAATGGGATCGAACAAATAAGAAAACACAATACCCTCTCTTTACAGAGGGAAAGTGATGAACAGCTCTTCTCCTGTGTTGATCTAAAAGAAGCGGCAACTTCTGGTATTTCGAGGCCAAGAATACGCAATGGCGTTCGCTAAATAGACCATGTATTCGAAGTGTTGAAAGATGCAGCCAAGAGTCGTAGAGTTTTAAAGCCGCACGAAAAATACTTCACTGCAATCGATATCCGCATCATTAACGCCGGCCGACACTTCACATAAGCATGCGGAAGCTTCTACGTCATGCCTGCAGGATGTCAATCAATTGTAACAAACGGCTGACGGGTGACGAGTACGTGTCTTCATTGCCTGCATACCGCACGCTACTGCGACTTCTCCTCTTTAAACACGCTACGAGCGTTTGGAGCAACCAATCTGTAGCAATCCTTTCCCCCATACCACGTCTTTTTACTTTCCAGTCAGACGTTGACAAATACTACTCGTTTTTTTTTTTCTACTTCACCATCCTGCCTCACACATATAGGCAACATCCTCAGATCCTAAGCTAGTGCATGGATTGCCTTACTATGCATAAAGGGAGTGGGGAAATTATCGTGTTCGTTGAAGCTTGACAATATTAATTCATTTAATTATTTATTGTCTCTATATTGTGTAAATAAATTTGCAAATTTTGGATTTAAGAGTTGCTTGTTTAACTTACATCACATACTCGCCTGCATTGAATACTCTACCACACGTGAAACTCACAACATATTCTTAATTTATGCTCGCAGATCAATTTAAAGAATGCGAGCAATCGTTTTGAATAGAAAGTTAATCCCGAAAACTGAATAAATCACTTATTAAACCAGGAGTCTGTCTACCTGACAGCTAGCTAGGAAGCCTAAGATGAAAAAAACAAAAATATTTCTTATTTATGTCGTTAAGATACTTTTTTTTTCATTTATTTTAATTGCGTTGAGCTTCACCCACTTATTATCATTTTATTATTATCATTCAGCCAGAAAATAAATTCCAAGACTAAAGTCTTAAAGCACTAGCCATCGGCTACAGACTATTGGCTTTATTGAAAACTTTACCGCCCTTGAGATGTGAAACGATGACAATTGAGTTGTTGTCTAAATTCTTGGCCACTGAGGGGCATATTATCATTTTATTATTACGGTTGCTTCCAAATTCCGATTGCATATCTTTTGATGGCAAGGTGTTTGCTATCGGTTAAGTGCTTAATGTGAGTTTCTGTTCATTTTATAATTTTTTTGATAACCTAGTGGAGAATAAAAAAACTAAATTAAACAAGTGTGAAATTTATATTCGACCGTGACCGACTCACCTATACAATCACCATTTTTATCCTAAGTAGAGTTAAAAAGCAAACCGGAAAAACTACATTTCGATACACTATAATATTAGATGTGTGTGTGATTGATTTTTCGTTCATTGTTTTCGTCAGTGGTCGTGGAAATTTTTATTGTGGCTGTGTGTCTCTATTGTAGTTTTCGCGTAATGGGCAAACGAAATCTGAAAGGCAAGATGTTCTCAACTTGTGTGTCGCCTTTTACGGATTCGGTACACATTTGCGTGCGAAGACTTTTCAATATTTCTGCCATCTCTTTGAATCCGATAATTTCATTACACAGACAGACAGAGAGATAGACAGCGATACGTACGAACCGGCATACTTGAATCGATTTTGAAATTGATGCCGATCAAGATCATATACTTTATGAGGTCTATGAAGTTTCCTCGTAAATGTGACAACGCGTTTTGGCAACACGAATACACCCGAAAATTAACTTGACGCCGGTACACAACTGATTTAACCTAAATTAAAAATTCTCGATATGTTAAACATCTTTAATAAGCAAAGATAAACTATCTGTATAATTTGGGATGTTTGATTTTGTTTTTACTTCTCCGTATAAACAAGCGAAATGTTGATGATTTTCGTGCAAACGTAAACATTAAATGTACATCTCCCTCTGAATTTACATAATTTCTTCCGAGAACTGTTTAATGTGAAAAAAAAGCAAGGATGCGCATCATTCAGTTAGAAAATTATATTCGACTGTAATCGAATCTTTTATACCCGTCAGTTTTTTTTCTCAGGTCACATTGCACTGCAGCTGTGTATGCCGTGCGATTCATTTTGACACATTTTCAATATCAACTTGCGTGCAAGAGTTGCCAACGTCTTTGTCAAGTTCGAAGCCATTAGCTTTATTTTTTCAGATCAGAAGAATGTTTATTATATTATATACATACTACAAAATTAAAGACAACCGGACGGACGGTCTGATAGATGGACATGTTAATCAATGTAGGTCTAATTTGATTTTTTACGAAAACGGAGAACTTGAGCTTGATAATACCTCTTAAAAAATGAATTTAAAAAATATTTCCTACATACGATTGCATAAAGTACGTAGTATCCCACGATATGTTAACGAGATTCGCAAACAATAATTAGTTTTCGTTTAAACCGTTATAGATGGCATTCTATTGCACGAAACATTTATTAGGTAGGATTGGAAACCTTGTTTAACGTTCGAGATTATTTTGATATGAGATTTTTTTCTCATTTAACTTTTTTCATTTAATTTCTATTCAATTTATGTATATATATAAATTAGAGGGCATAAGAGAAGATTTTCTGACGGCGAATACTTCTTGAAAAAACATTCCATCAAGATATTAATTTCAACAGAAATGATTACTTTATTTTTATCCCATTTCAAGTCCTGCGGGTAATGCAACGTGAAAGCGATCGCTTCCGACCCGTCGCCATGGAGCTCTTTGCCCGTGGAAATGTTAACTAAATTCTTCTCATACAGTTTTCCATCAGCCCTTATGTGGTTCAGCTAATTCTGCGAAGGCTTTTTTTCTTATACACCAAACCCAGGTCTCTGACCGCATTCATGCTCATAGCAACCAGAAATTCTGATTTTCAACGATAGGAATTGATCGTTGCGTTATTAAGTATATAACTATGTAAAAAATGCTTGAAACGGTCTGGGATTACAAACTTTTCTAAACATCCTTAGGTGTAAGGGAACCGATATCCTCATTTCGTTTAAATTGTATCGAACAAGAAACGTGCGTACCAAGTAGGGCATAAATCGGAGGATAACCGCAACAATAGACTTCGAATTCGGAATTATTTTACTCGCTTCTTCGACTCTGGTAAATAGTTGAGAAATATCCTGCTAATCAACAATCCATTCATTTCTTTCTTTCTTTTAGTAGGTGCTTGCAAAAATTTTGATCACTTTTCACCTTGAAAAAGGCATTTATTGTAGCAAATTGCTAAAATACATATATCAATGAAAATAGTTTCCATCATTTTTTACAACAAATCACAATCTTCTTGCCAACATGACGATATCAAATTGAAAGAACTTTTATTGGTTTGGCAGCGAACCATCCAGCGATCCATTTTCGCACTTGTTCAACTTTGCGGACTTGCGTGCCGGTAATCAGGAGGCTGCATGTCTGATGAATACGCTGAATATGGCAGAGCTTGCCATTCGAGCTGCCACAGTGTATTCCGAACAACTCTTGCAACAAGTGGCGAAAATGGCATTTTCAGTGGATTTGCGAGGTTGCCATTTCTTCTTCTTTTGGGTCTTTTCGGTAAACGTCTAGAAATACTGGATTCGTCAATTGCTAAACTGTTCGAAAGTTCTTTGAGAGTTTGAGCTGAGTTTTCGTCCAATATTGTCTTGCAATTCATTGTTTTCGGGTATTTTTGTCCCTTGAAACCGAAACCTAAGCCGACAATTGTGATATGATGGAGCTGCATCACCATAAGCCTATGAACGCGTTGGGCTTCGGCAGCAGGTTTCTTGAAATAAACAACAGCAATGATGAATTTGGAAGAAGAAGAAGAACTTTGAGTGCTATGTTAAATGGAAAACTGTTGTTTTATGTAGAGAAAGGTCAAAAGCATCGAATTCATCCGTTATGTACACTACCCATTTCCCATTTTTTATGCCCACTCTCGTAAGATACGGGGTATAATCACTTTGTTTTTTTACCATAACGAAGCTTCAAAGACCCTATAAAGTATATATATTCTTGATTAGCGTGAAATTCTGACTTTATTTAGCCATGTCTGTCCGTCTACGTGTCTGTGAGGTATGTGTCGTTGGCACTCTCCTGATCGCAAAAATGAAGATATCGACTTTAGATTTGGTAGGAACTTTGGAAGGTTTTGAACGCAGCTTGGTATTAAAAACGGGCCAAATTGGTCAGAGCAGAAGCGAACAGTGGAGCGTAAACTGAATGCAACTCGGTTTTTTTAAAAAAAATTCCTTGGATTTTTCCTTGTTACTGGGAAATTGTTAAAGTTATAGAAGTGAAATTTTTCACATTTACTTTACGCAACACTTCATTCTCTACGTTTAAAAATGAAAACAATCGACCACGCCCACACAAAATTACAAGTAATTAAATTTTATTTTTTTCACTTTTTTGAGGTTCTATGCCTTGTTTAAAATTATTTTGTAAATATCTCAAATCGAGATATATTATCGGTCTACAAATGGGTTAATTCTAAAATGAATATGGTAGATACCGCGATTAATTTTTTCTTAATAATATCACCGATATGGGTGTCAAATAAAAGAACTTGAAGAGTGAAATGCGAAAAGCATAATGGTGGGTATGCGACATTCGTCCCCCGTCGAATATAACTTGCTTAATTGTCTTTTATCATTTCTACCTGCAAAAGTCGCTGATTAAAATTTTTGCAACCACCTAATAAATCGCCTGAAAGCCACATGTATACGAAATCATCATGAAACTTATAAAAACGTGTATATATATATGGATTCAAAACGAGTCGAATTTAATTTCAAATTGAACCCGTTTTCATTACTCGGAAAAATTCGGCAATAATGCCCTCACGAATAATTGGTATTGCTTTCAGCTACAGTCCGCCTTGTTCTTTAATTTTTCGAAATGACTTGGCTCTGTTGCGCTTTTTAAATATAATATAAATGTAAAGTAATTGCCAGCTGATAATACAAAAATTTTGACGCCCATCTTTTTTTTGTGTATCAGCTAAGTTGTGTCTCTTGTTTTCCGCGTTATAATAAAAATGATTGAATGATTTTCTTGAATATTGAAAGAGATTCTATTTTAAACCGCACTCGATAATTTCCGCTGAAAACATTCGAATGTTTTAAAATTGTATCCAATTTACATAAAATTTCTTTTTACCGCCAACGAAACGAAAATCGAAAAATAGTTGCTGTTACGAACTTTAACAAAAAGGAGGTTGAGGAAGAGGAGGAGTTGACTCACAAATTAGCCAAGTTCAATTAAATGTTTTTTGTTGTTTTTTTCTTTATTCATTTACGGTATATTAAAAGAATTTGTAAAATTGCCGGCAATTTTTTATTTAGGAACAGCATCGCCCCTCCATCTTCATAAGTTAAGGAGGCGAAAAAATTATTGAAGCACAAATCAACAGAATCACGCACTAAATGTCTGGCAAAATGTTATAGAGAGTGTAATGGAAAATTTTTTTATTTATAGGCATTTTTTGTTTTTTTTTTTTTTTTTTTTTTAAGTTCTGAATACATATAAATATATATTGGGGAAAAAAAATGAGTACGCATTTTGCCATAAAAAAAAGATTAAATGGAAAATTTTTTTCAGATAACAAGCGTACATAAGTTGAGTGGGTTGGAGAAAGGTGCACTTGACAGATTGTCAGAGGGAAAACAAGCACAATTTAATAGATATGTAATGAAGACACAAAAATAAAATAGCAAAGACATTTATTCGGGTTTTTAAGGAAACGGAAAAAGCTTGAGAATGTAAAATCGCTCAACAATGCAACTGCATAAGAAGCTGAAGGACGAGATTGAGGATTTG